CCCCGCGCGCCAGGGGCGCAGCCCGGATCCCAGAAGTCCGCGCGGGGCTCCAGAGGTCTGTGGTTTTGTGCGGCTGCCATTTCTCGGCGCGCGTCCACGGGTCTTCCCTCGCGCGGGTCGGACGCGGGGGCGGGGTGGTCCAGGCCTCCCCTTGGCATCGCTCGGACGTGTGCATTTTTCCTTGAGGAGCATCCTTGGAGATTTGACGAAAAACCGCGCACAAAACCGACAAAAATCACAGGGAATGGACGTCCGAGCGATGGCCAGTCCCAGATGGGGGGTCGGAGCAGATGGGGGTCGGCGGAGCGCCGATGCATCGGCGATGCGGCTCGATGCGGAGATCGTGTTCCCAAACGCAGACGTCGCCGATGCATCACCGACGTCGCGATGCGGCGTGATCCTTCGGCCCCATCTATTCGGACCCCATCCAGGAGGCCTCTAGATGGGGAAAGAGGGGATTGCGAGAACTGCTGCATGCAGCCGGTTCTGGCCTTGCCGCGGGGCGTCTTCCCGAGAATTGCATGGGCGCCGGGAGGCGCTGGGGAAGTCATCGTGAGCTACTTCGCGAACTTCCTCCTTTCTACTACCCCACCCCACCCCTTCGTCCGACCCGACTCGCGCCAGCCCGTCCACGGATGATCATTGGTGGCGCTGCCGCGCGAAGCCGCCGCTGTGCTTGGGGTGACGCCTGGGGGAGGGGGTGTTCGGTGGGGGCCTGGGAGTGGGAGCGAAGGGGCTCGGTTCCCCCTTTGAGGGGTATGTCTTTCATCCCTGGCACGTCTAGCTGGCGCAGCCCTTTGCAAACAGGAAGAACAGAAAGAGAATGGAAAAGGGAGTGGAGGAAAGGAGAGAGGGAAGGGGGCAAGAGGGAGGGAGGGAGAAGATGGAGGAAGAGGGGGACTGGCAAGAGAGGATGGCAAGGAAGTCGCAGGCGAGATCAGGGCTCCTGAGTAAATAACGAGCAGTCCCGAGCAAGAGCGCGATCCCAGAGCGCCGATAGCGATTTGCCGAGAGAGCGATTCGTTAGTAAATTGAGAGAAAGTCCCAGTAAATTGTAAGGAGGTCCCGAAAGAGAGCGGGATTCTTCAGAACATTGTCAGGAAATATCAAGCGGGAGCCGCTGTTGTAGTAAACTGGGGAACAACAACCCAGTCTGAGGCCCAAGTTTTCTTTTGGCAAAAATAGGCGCGAGCTCCGGGAAGGGCAATTCGACTCACGAAACAGAACGGGCACTACAGGGGTGATCAACAATCATTATTGTTTTTGAGGTGGGCATTCAATCATTTGATATTGTTCGTTCTCATCTGTCGTGTGTCTGCTCGATACCGGTTCCCTTCGTCATCAACCGTTCCCTCCTAGGGGGTACAGTTTCCTCACCTGCCACGTGTAGTCGGCGCAGCCCCCTAAAACCATAAGGGGAGGGAGGCAGGAAAGAGAGAGAGAGAGAGAGAAAGAGCGAAGAGGAAAGGAGTGCGGGAAGGGAGGGAGGAGGGAAGGGTCAAAGGGGAGGGGGAAGGATGAAGCACGAGAGAGATTTGCAGGAGAGGGGGTTGGATCAGTAAAACAAGCGGCACAACCAGATGGGCGCGTCGGGTTGGCGGATCCGAACGGGCGGGTCGGGCGGGCGGGTCCAGACGGCTGGGTCGAGCGGTTTTTTTCGCTGAAGCGTGCGTTCGTCATGGATCGCCAGGAAGTCTCGCAATAGCGCGATCCCCAAAGAAGTCTTTCAGAAGTCCAGAGCGAGAGCGCGATTCCTGATTGTCGAGGGCGCGGCATCTGAATCAATTGTAAGGACGTTCCAGGCGAGAGCGCGGCTCGTCTGAAAATAGCAAGGAAGTCCCGAGCGGGAGCGCGATTCATCAATACACTGTGAGGAAGTATCAGGCGCGAGCCGTTGTTGTTGTAGTTCGGGGGCCAGCCACGGATGTTGACGACCCCAGACCTCCCTGGGTCAAAATCTAGGTACGAGCCTCCGGATGTGCATTTCAGTTGAAGGAACTACCACGTGGGGGATCAACAGCATTTGCTCTGTAGAAATCAGAATGCAACAACAACAACAACAACAACAATCATTCCAGACTGGGGACACTCCGTTCTCACCAGTGCCAGGGTTTTCATAGGAGGCGGGCAATACCCCCACTTTGTGGGGGGGCCGGTTCAAGCTCTACCAAGTTTCCAAACGACTCTTCGCCACCACCCACACCCAGCTTCCCGCCCTATGACGTTCGGACACTTCACTTCGTGGCCTGCGGACGACCTTGGCTACTACACTGGCGCATGGGTACAATGACTTGTTGTGGTAACATTTTGTGGAAGCTAGCTTAGTATACGACTTTTCCCCCTGCAATTGAAGATTTCGGCGTGCGCGCGCGAAGAAAAAACGAATGTGTCCCATATGGTATTATTTGACAGGGATGATGGCCCTGGCAGGCGCGCAACCTTTGTTGCAGAAGTTCGAAGCACGTGAAAAAGTTGCTCGCAAGAGCCCGTTTGACAGAAATGTTGAAAAAGTATTGGGTTTCCTAAGAAATCCGCAAGAGCGCGCGGGATGAATTTTTGAAACCCTTTTTTTGAAAAAAAAAAACCATTGGGTTTTTTCATGTTTTTATGTGAAAATCGCTACGAAGACTAAGGTTTTGGAAGGATTTCGTCTTGCGCGCGCGAATGTGCACTTCGTGTCATTTTTTGCAAGGGATTCTTGAAGTTTGGTCATGTTAGAACAAGAAATGTCAACTTTGCCCTATTTGTTGCCAGGGAAAACCGATCGTAACAACACAACCGGATCTGGACCAACCCGTTTTGCCTGAGACTTCCTCACGAAAATGATGAAAATGTGGCTGCGGCCTAGGCGCGGCGGGGGGGGCGTGCACCAGGGGGCCCAACAATAATTATTCTTTAGAAGTAATAATATTCAACAATCGTCTGCACTGCAAAAGCCCACTTCAGCCACACACCCAGGGAACATGTAAGACCATTCGGCCCCTCACTCCTCATTCAGACCTATATATATATATATATATATATATATATATATATATATATATATATATATCCCCTTATCTATATTTTTATAATTCCGGGGGTGCGGACCCCCTCCCCCGAAACGGGACCCCCCCGGATCGTGCCACGGGGGCGGCCGAAAATCTTTTCCAAGGCGTGCACGCAGGCGGGCGGCAATACCAAATCGGTCGGCGCAAGCCCACAGAGACATCCAAGACAGTCCAGGATAGCACCTGGGTAGCCTTGAAGACCCTCCGCGAGAGCCCCAAGACCGTTCTCAAAGGGGGCCCGAGATAACAAAATCGTTGAATTTCCACTATTTTTTCAATGTTTTTCGCGTCCTCGCTTTCGGGTTTCCGACGCTCCCGGACCGCCCAAGAAACTCCCAAAACCGCTCCAAGACGGCCCAAGAAGTTCCCAGAGCGCGCTGAGAGCGCCCCAAGACGGTCCAAGACGCGCCCGAGATGGCCCACGAACGCTCCAAGACGGCCCAAAAAAGGGCCCCAGGGGGGACCACGAATTGAAAATACGAGCCTCCCGCCCCGAGAAGGCCCAAGGAGGCCCCAAGAGAGCTCCACAGGGCCTCGGGAAGCCCCCTAAGTAGCTCCGGTGAGGCTCCAAACACATCCCAAATTGTTACTTTTCCATTGGTTTTTCCATGTTTTCAGCGTCCTCGCTTTTTCGGGTGTCCGACGCTCGAAGACCACCCAAGAAGCTCCCAAAACCGCCCCACAACGGCCCAAGAGGCTCCCAGAGCGCTCTGAGAAAGCCCCAAGACGGCCCAAAACGCGTCCGAGATGGCCCACGAACGTTCCAAGACGGCCCAAAGAGGAGCCCTAGGGGGGACCACGATCTGAAAATACGAGCCTCCCGCCCCGAAAGAGCCCAAGGAAGCCCCAAGAGAGCTCCAAAGGGCCTCGGGAGGCCCCCTAAGACGTTTCGGTGAGGCTCCAAAAACATTAATCCTCCGCCTCCTCCTCCTCCTCCTCCTCCTCCTCCTCCTCCTCCTCCTCCTCCTCCTCCTCCTCCTCCTCCTCCTCCTCCTCCTCCTCCTCCTCCTCCTCCTCCTCCTCCTCCTCCTAGGCTGCTGTTTGAGGGCATCGAACCATAGACCAGCCGTGCAAGGAGTCTAGGATCGCACCCCAGTAGTCGCACCCAGGCCCTCTCCAGTTCGTTCCTGGGGGCAGGGGGAGTCGGGAGGGCCTCGGCGTACACAGTTCATACAGCTTACCGTACTGTTGTCGCTACCGTAATTGCCGCCGCCATGCTTTCTTGTGCCGCATTGCGATTCGACAGTGTGACCTCGAAAAGCAAGAGTGCGAGACGCAGAGACAGGATCCGTCGCACGCACTCGCGAAAAACTCAGGAAGCCAAGTTAGAAATATTGAAGTTTCTGGAAACAGCCGAAACAGCCTCAACAAACATGGGACCAGCAATCTTGAACGACCCAGATCAGGAACCGTTTGTGCAGGCCGATTGTCCCCACCAGCATGTCTCAAGCTACGTTCAATTGCCGTCAGTGGGCACGTGGGTTCGCCATTTATTAGTTGCTTCCCATCGTAATGCTACACACGTTGCTTATACTTGTTCAGAGAAAGCGCGATTCGGGGCTCTCGCCATTCCGCGGGTTCCCCCCCTTGTCCTTGCCCCTCCCCCGCTCTGCCTGGCCCCTTCCTCGGGGCGCGGAATTGAGGCAACGAGCGAACCACATAGATTGCGGGATATTGTTTTGATCAAAGAAGAGGAGGACATTTGCTGCATTTCTAAGCCTCAGCAGCCAAAACAATACATACACTTGCCGTCAGTTGGAACGTGGATTCACCGTGCACCTCTTGACAGACCGGGACAGAGGGGCAAGTTCGCATCCGATTGTACACATTTGCGACTTGGGGAGGACAGTAGCGACAAAATACATATCAATGCACACGAATGGTTTGATATTGACAATCTCCTCCAACAGGCGACCAATATGAGTTTGAAGGAATACTGTTTTCGGAAAGGTCAGCCGATGGAGGCCAAATTGATGCAAAGCCGTGCAGTGGAAAAGCCTGAGATGGACTTGCGCGACATTGTTTACCACGCTCTAAAGGAGAGCGAAGACTTTGCGATATCACAGAAGAAGAGGTTTTCCATGGCCGTGGAAAGAGGAATACACATCAATGCCTTGGCACACAGAGTAAAAACTCCATTCACTGACATAGAGGACGCCATCGCCAGCCTCCTTTCGGAAGGGAAGATCATACAAACGAGGATCAGCAAGTATGGAGGTTTGTACGCACCGAATATAGCGGAAAATGCACATCATTTTATGCCTGTTGAGAGCAGCGCGCAACAAAATAAGCATCATGATCTTCCGAAAAGAACGAAACATAAGAGAAAGTAGGCACGCAGAGGCGCGCATTTGGCGCGTCGGATCGGGAGGCGGTGGAGGTGGGGAGTGGTGGGAGGAGGAGGAGGAGTTCTCTCGCGGAGCTGGCGTTTGGCCTGCAACTGTCTGGCCTTCCCGTGGGAGGCGCGCGCTGCGCGAAGGCAGCAGCGCCGACCTCCCTGCCTCTGCTACTCACGTAAACGCTACTGGGCAGGGTCTCCCTGCTAGCGGGGCACCCAGTCTCCCTGGAGTCAACCAGGGACCGGGACGCCCCAGGCATGCCCCCAGAATTGGCAACGATCCAGGAGGCCTGCATCCACGCAATCACCCAGGGGTCAGCCTGCGAAGTGTTTCAAGCTCTCTGCAGCTAGAGACACAGACCCCCAAGGGCCTTATCCTTATATATATCCTCCTCCTCCTCCTCCCTGTTCCTTCTCCTCCTCCTCCTCCGCCTCCTCCTCCGCTCCTCCGTAAATGGAGCAAGCGAGCGCTGCTCAAGCGGACGCAGGAGGGCGCAACGGCCCCACAACAGCAACCGCCAGACCGCTCCACAAGGCTCCGGGAGAAACCCCGCGAACCCATTCGAAGGGCTTCAGCGCCCCAAGGCGGCCCAGCGGCCTTCAAAAGGTGGCCCCGACGGCCCATGAGGGCCAAGCCGACCAACACCCTGCCCGTCAAACCCGCCGCCCTCGAAATCGCACCACTCCCGCCGCCCCGCGCCCCCTTCATTTGATATTCCTTGAAGAATAGCCGCGTCATGCTCATAATCCCGGGTTCGCAACCAATTTTCCGGAAATTCGGTTGCGAACCCGGTGTTCCAACTGTCTCCCGCGCGGCCCCCATTCATATGCGCCATTCCATGCGCCCGCGGCCTCCGACTCGCAGTTTTGGCCCGTCCCAGGTTGATTGCCCCCCTTTCTGCTTTTCCTGCGCTTCTCCGAAGTACGAACCAGCCGTCCGCGGCTAACACGGAAAATTATCCCGGCAAAGCAACCTAACAGCGATGTGTAGAAGCATATCTGAAAGCATTCCCCTTAAGATTCAAATGAAAATCCAGTTGTCGAATTCTGCTGTTCTCGCAGTCGTAGTCGCATTCGCGATGACAGTCGCAGCGGCAACGGCAGTCGCAGTCACAGCCTCAGCCTCAGCCTGCCTCCTCCTCCTCTTTCTCCTGCTCCTCCTCCTCCTCCTCCTCCTCCTCCTCTTCCTCCTGCTCGTCCTCGTTCTCGTCCTCCTCGTCTTGCTCGTCCTCCTCCTCCTGGTGCTCTCTCCTCCTCCTCCTCCTCCTCCTCCTCCTCCTCCTCCTCCTCCTGGTGGTCCTCGTTCTCCTCCTCCTGGTGCTCTCCCCCCCCCTCCTCCTCCTCGTCCTCCTCCTCCTCCTCCTCCTCGTCCTCCTCCTCCTCCTCCTCCTCCTCCTCCTCCTCCTCCTCCTGGTAGTCCTCCCCCTCCCCTCCTCCTCCTCCTCCTCCTCCTCTTCCTGGTCGTCCTCGTTCTCGTCCTCCTCGTCTTGCTCGTCCTCCTCCTCCTGGTGTTCTCTCCTCCTCCTCCTCCCTCCTCCTCCTCCTCCTCCTCCTCCTCCTCCTCCTCCTCCTCTCTCCTCCCCTCCTGTACTCTCCCCCCCTCCTCCTCCTCCTCCTCGTCCTCTCCTCCTCCTCCTCCTCTCCTCCTCCTCCTCCTCCTCCCTCCTCCTCTCCTCCTCCTCCTCCTCCTCCTCCTCCTCCTCCTCCTCCTCCTCCCTCCTCCTCCTGGTACTCCTCCCCCTCCCCTCCTCCTCCTCCTCCTCCTCTTCCTGGTCGTCCTCCTCCTCCTGGTCGTCCTCCTCCTCCTGCTCGTCCTCCTCCTCCTCCTGCTCGTCCTTCTTCTCCTGCTTCTCCTGCTCCTCGTCCTGCTCCTGCTCGTCCTCGTCCTCCTGGTCTTGCTCGTCTTCCTCCTCGTCGTGATCTTGCCCCTGCTGAAAATGTGGCCCAGGAATGGGAGTTCTGGGAAGTCGAAGAGCACGAAGTTGCCTACAGTTGGCTACGGGCATTCAAAATGTGGCCCGGGAATGGAGTTCTGGGAACTCGAAGAGCACGAAGTGGCCTACAGTTGGCTCCGGGCATTCAAAATGTGGCCCGGGAATGGAGTTCTGGGAACTCGAAGAGCACGAAGTGGCCTACAGTTGGCTCCGGGCATCCAAAATGTGGCCCGGGAATGGAGTTCTGGGAACTCGAAGAGCACGAAGTGTGTGACTGTTGCATCCGGCCCTCCAGAATGTGGCCCGGGAATGGAGTTCTGGGAACTCGAAGAGCACGAAGTGTATGACTGTTGCATCCGGTTATTCTAAATGTGGCCCGGGAATGGCGTTCTGGGATCTCGAAGAGCACGAAGTGTGTGACTGTTGCATCCGGGTATTGAGAATGTGGCCTGGGAATGGAGTTCTGGGAAGTCGAAGAGCACGAAGTGTGTGACTGTTGGTGAAAAACGAGCCCGGCACCTGCCGCCCGGCAACTCCCAACACCTGCCCGGACCCCCCTGTGGAGTGATCTGCTGCTCTCTTTTGATCCCACTAGAAACCTATCAGTCTTCGTTGTTAGGTAAAAAGGATGGCACCACGGACCAACCACTCCAGAGCTTCAAGGAACAAGGCGCATTGCGCGAAGCGCCAATGCAGCCTTGCATATATATATATATATATATATATATATATATATATAGTCGCCGCCACGGCTGAAGCATTTCAGGCGACCGAAAACACCACACTCTAGCTTGTCCCGCACCGCTGTCAGACAGATGTGGTGCCGATGAGCAGGAGCAGCGGCGGCTGGCGCCTGCTGCGATTTGCATCGTTCAATCCGCTGACCCTGGCGGTTCCAGCCAAGTTGCAGGACATCACAAGTGAGTTCGTGAAGCATGACCTCCTCCTGTTGCAGGGCACGCAGTTCAAGGCAGCCAGAGGCAAAGAAGTGGACCATATTCATACCAGCAGTCACTTGTACTGGCATAGTGGATACAATTTCCAGAGTAACAAAGCTTGTGGAGTTGCAGTCGGCCTCAACAAGAGTAGATATCCGAGCGAGCTCGTCACCAGAGTTGAACATGGTCAAGGCGAGCTCCAAGGGCGCGCCATTTGTCTCAGGTATCGGCGTGGAAGACAGGATCTGGCGATTATGTCGTGCTATTTCCCTCCAAGGGGTGTGGGCAGAGGAGCAGTCGCCAGACAAAAGAGAATATGCAAGCTTTTAGTAGACCGGGTACAGCAACGGTTTGATGAGCTGCCCACTCGATGCGTACCCCTCATAGGAATGGGTTTGAATAGCACTGGCGGAGAGCATATATCGGAGCGCCCTGTTGCGGGTAGTGAAGAGCGCGATCGTGATGGACAAATTTTTAACTATTGTGATCGACTCTACAGGCTCACCAACTAGCGCTGGTGAACACTTTCTATGCGGCTGGACCCACTTATTTTGGAGTGCAGGACGGCGTCCAGAAGCGAATCGACTTCATCGCAGTACCAGCAAGTATGCTCTCCAATGTGGACAACTGTCATGTGGCACGCTTGAAAGGGCGCAAACTTCAACACATCCGCTGCATGCGACCTAAAGATCATCTACCCATATGCGTATCAGTATGGCACACCTTCGAATGGAACCGACCTTTCCAGCTCAAGAAAGCCAACCCTGAAGTATGCAACGCGTCGCCTTTGAATGGATATCGCCGAACTGAATTTCTTCAAGCAGTGGAAAGTAAGCTAGACGGGCATCTACCCTGGCTTAGATAATGGGAACGTGAAGGCAAAGTTGAGTTGACCTATTAAACGCGGGGTTATGCCAAGCAGTTGGAGATGCAGCGGCTGAAATTCTAAGAGACCCACCCTGCTATCAAGAGACGAAGGAGGATCGCATCACCACGAACACTCGCACCTCCCAGATACTCAAGCAGCGACGTGAAGCAACAATAAAAGAAGTGGAGTTTCCAGAAGAGTTATCCCTAGAAGTGGTTCGACTCAGCCGCGCGCTAAAGAAAAAGAAGAAAGAACTTGTACAACATCGGAACCTCCAACGCATAGGCGCGCTTGCTGAAGCATGGCGAAGACGACGATTTCATGAGGCGCATAGATTGGCGAGATTGATTGCGGGTGCATGCAGCGGGCCACGGGGACGGGTATATAATCAGGTGGCTATATCTCGAGCAACGCCTTTGGAGCGGATAGAAAAGCTACATCAACGAGGCATAAATGGAGGAGCAAAGGCGAGTATACCGAAGTTTCCGAAACCACCTTTTCAAGCGGCGGGTTTCTGGAGGCGACCGCCCGAGGGCACCCGAGATCACACGGTCGACGCACATCAGCTAACAGAAGATGAGTATCCTGAAACTAATCCAGCGGACTGGCCAGACCACGAACAATTCAAACAAAAAGATACACTGCAAGACATCAAAGACCTGAGAAGAGCGGCGAAAACCTTACCATCGTGGCGAGCCTGGCCTGACTGGAGCGCACCTGGAGATGTCATTTGTCGAATGTGTCTTGGTCCCAAATGGCTATATCGACCAGAACAAAGGGCGGGCATTGGAGCAGGCGATCGACCAGAGTGGAGCGCCTCCTGATTTGAAGAGGCCCTTTACCTGCTCATGAGCACGATTCGCAGGGAAGGTAGGACCCCGATAGTTTGGCATCAAGCGAGTATGTTTCGGCTTCCAATAAAACAATGGAAAGAAGGGAACTGGAGGTGAACGACCGATAATGCCACTGTGCGGATTGGGGCGAACGTATTACAAGAGTTCGTTGATCCGCAAACCAAAGCTTCCAAACTGGATGCATGGAGGCATTGCTTTTAGAAGACGAGAAGACGCGACGCTTGTACAATGTTGTGGCCCCTTCAGACTGAGACGGGCTGGTATTCCTCATGTAACAAGATATCACGATGCCGCCAACGCTTTTGACAGCGTGGAGAAGCATCATTTGGTCGCCGCTGGCAGGGGGATAACAAAGCAAGGAATGGAACATTTTATCGAACAGAGGATCATGAACAGCACCTTCATAGTGAAAGATGGACTCTACAGCGCGCGCATGCATAGTGATGAAGGGGCTCTACCAGGGGACCATGCGTCCACGAAAGTTTTTGTAAATGCATATGGACACGGAGTGCAGCTAGTAGCTTCGAGCCTAGCTAGAGATGAGTGGCAGCAGCAGTCGCAGGCAACCTCGATGCCGATTGGGCCCGAGGGGGAGAACATTGACCTCGCCATGCGTGGATTTGTGGATGACGTTGGCAGGAACGTTATCGGCGCCAACCCCCATCATCTTCGGAATTTGTGGATGACGTTGGCAGGAACGTTATCGGCGCCAACCCCCATCATCTTCGGAAGCTTTGTGCATGGGAGAATCTCATCATCGACGCTTGACTTGAGGAAAGGGGGGGGGGGGGGGGGGGGGGGGGGGGGGGGGGGGGGCAGAACAGGGGGAAGCAATAACGCATCGCCCAGGGAGCAAAAAGACAAGCTCAGAAGTTGAACAGCGTATTTCATGAACAGCCAGAACTTCTAGAAGGCAACACAAGAGCACACGCAAGGTATCTTGGAGGCCTGCACCACTACAACAACGGGTTCACGGCAGAGAAGTCAGCAATATTAACAGCTATCGACAAGGCGTGGAAAAATTGAACACTGTTGGACCTCGTCTACGCCTCTCAGGTTCAGGGCCATCGCCTTCGTCGGTCAGGTCGTCAACGCGGCCCTCAGCGGGCTAGAGGCGCACGTGATGAATATGGAGACCCCGCTTAGCAAAAGATGTCTGGGACTGCTTCAATCCAGAGTAGTTGAATATGCTCGAGTACTTCTGAAGGGTCGGTCCACTGAGCGCACGCAAGGTAGGGCAATGAAAACCATTTATAACGCTGAGGTTCTTAGGAAGCTAAAAGTCGGCAGTCTGCTTTGTGAACTCAGGATTCGTAGAATTAAGTGGCTCCAATCAATGGTCAGGCACCCCCAGGAGCACGCCCAGGTCCTCGGAGCCCTCCCCGGCCAAGTCAAATGTGAGTGTGAGCCAAAGGACTGCGTTGGAGGCGTTGCCCAGGCGAACGCCAATCCGTGGCTGCGGCAGTTTTGGGAGGATGTCCAGGCCTTGGGGAGCACTGAAGAAGGAACCACTCTCCTCGAAGACCTCGAGGGGTCGCTCTGCAAACTTTTTGAGGAGCCCCACAAAGAGGCTTTTTTAAGTCTCGATCCGTCTGTGCTCAGAGCGAAGGAGCTCACGATTGAGGCGCCCCCCCCTCCTGGGCTTGGTGGGTCGGACGTGGTCGGTGGGAGTGGGGCTTCGGGCGCCTGTGAAAATCCAGAAGGGGAAGGCGCCTTTTCCCTGTCCTGCGCGTGAGCAGGTATTTTCGTCACACCAAACAATGGCCTTGCATTATGTTAGGTCTCAGGCGGAAGGTCACGGAGCTAGGAGCGTTCCGTATGCTGCCACACTTTCCAACTACCGTTTGATTTGTAGGCGTGCGTCTGCGAACAGAGAAGCTGCTCAGCATCACGTACTCAACGCTCTCAAGAAGGGCAGGTGTTTCGTCGACGGCAACGCAAGATGCCATGAGAAGGGTCAACATAGCATTCGACAATGTACGACGCGTAGCCATCATGCCGAGAACGCGGAGGCTTTAGACGCACACCTGTTATCGAACCATCTTGAGCAGATCGTGCATCCAGATCACTACCTCACGCGCGATGTCGGCGTGGCTTCGGGAAGGCCAGGTGAATGGAACGGCGGAGAAGGCGTCAGGCGGGGGAGGCGAGGCATTGGCGGCATCGGCGGTGGCGGGGGCGGCGAACCAGGTGCAAATGGGCGGCTCGAAGAAGCCCAAGATGGGCAACCAAATGGGCGCGGAGACGAAGGTGCAGCTCAAAGTGGAGGCGAGGCAGCGAGAGCACGAGGACAAGGACTCGCACTGTCAGTGCCCCACGGGCCATCCTATCGCAGCTGGCATGCAGCAGGCGGGGGAGAAGCACGTTCAAAGCGGGAAGTATGCAGGGTCGGGCCACGCCGACGGCTCGCCGCACCTGGCAACAAAGAGTCAATCGAGCAGCTGGCAACACTCAACGTGGACGGGAAGCCCAACGACGAGGTAATGGTTTTCTTCGAAGTGCAGGGGCCACTGGCAGATGTGAACGAGGACGAACCAGACGGGCTCGTAGAGTGGCATCGCAAGTGCAGGTGCAGCGACCATGGCATGAAGGGCAATATGCAGCACCACGATCGAGGATCATGCACAGCGTGAGCGGCCATCGGCCACTGGCGACCAACAAAGAGCAGAACGACGAGCTGGCCAACCAGAAGCACCACCACCTGTTCGAGATAGACACCAGCAGCGAGCTGACCTACGTGAGTCTGGACCGCCTCCACATCCTCGCGATGAGAATCGCAGGGGCCGTACGTCTTCCAGGGAAGGCGCCCACAGGCGAGCTGGCGCACCAGCCCAGGAAGCTGGCGGCAGTAGTGCAATACGCCCTGCGCCTCCGCCTGAAACCCCGGGCTACATGACCAGATTAGAGGCTCTTCGTCATAGGATTTTGATGCGTGAATTGGCGCGGCGGGCAGAGCACTTGTAAAAAACTGCCCCTGCGCCTTGGCTTCCCCGCCAGCCTATTGTCGGGCTAGGCGCGAGGGGAGCCTGGCCTCGTGCTCCGTTCAAGAGTATAAGCCCTCACACACAAGTTTTCGGACATCATGTGTCAGGCTCTGCGGTCCCATTGCACTTGTAAGTGGGTTCAAGTGAGGGATTGAAGCAGTATGAATGAATGAAATCCCCCCTGTTTCTGGACCCTGACCCTACGGATCTGCGTGAGGGGTGCCGCCGAATTTCAGAAATGTGGCACATCCCTTGTGTTTTTGGGCCCTGGCCCTGCCGATTTGCGCGAGGGGTGCCATCAAATTTTGGAAATGTGGCAAATCCCTTGTGTTTTTGGACCCTGACCCCGCCGATCTGCGTCATGGGTGTTGTTTTTACTTACCCCAGCAATTCAGAGCACACGCTCAGGGCGCTGTAAAAATGCCCGTTCTGGGCCTCCACCCCTCGCGCGGTCCATCAACAAGGAACAGCAAACAGCAAGAAGCATAACTGTAACAGTGGAAACTGGAAGCTGCAACTAGTATAGGAAACTGCTAACCTTTTCCCTACAGCCTGGTGGCCCCACAAGGGGGCCGGCGGATTTACTACACCCGAGAAACAACCAATCAGTGGATGGTTTGAAAATCCGTAATATGGATGTTGAGATCGATAGTGAGACCGATCGTGTGATCGATCGTACGGGCGATAGTAAGGTCGATCGTGAAACCGATCTTGAAGTCGATTCATTGAGACCGATCGCGAGATCGCTCGTGCGATCCATAGTGGGATCCAATGTGAGATCGATAGAGGTGGGTAGTCAGATCGATCGTGAGAACGATCGATAAGGAGATCGACCAAGAACCCGGAAACCCGGGAACCCCGCCGCCCACCGAAATCGGTCCGGAACCAGCAACCGGGACCCCGGAAACCCGGAACCGGGAACCCAGGAACCTGGCCGCTTCCCAAAGTCGGCCCAGCATTTTCGCCAAAATTTTCAATGTCGGACCCCTTCAGTGCAAGCATTGATTAGGGAAATATATGAATTCTAGACGCTTCGCGTATCCCCACCAGCCCGTCCAGAAACGACGCCCAGGCGAGTAGAGGGTCGTCCTGAGGGGCTTTTCGGCGTCTTGGGTGCCTCGGGGGGGCCTCTTTGGGCCGTTTGGGATCCTCTTGGGGGCCTCCTGAGGGCCATCTTGGAGCCATCTTGGGGCCATTTTGGGGCCTCTTGGTGCCTCCTGGGCGCTTCTTGGGGCCATCTTGGAGGAAATCGATCAAAGAAGAGGGGAGCTTCAATTAGTGCTGCCCCCTCTGGGGGCCAAAATGGGGCCAAAACCTTGGTAAAATCAATGATTTGGGCTTCCTCGGCGAGGCCGTTTTGGACGCTCTGACCGCTCCCCGCCCCCCCTGTCCAGGTCCTGTCAGTGGGGAGGGGGTAGGGGGAGGGGTAAACCCCTCCCCGAAGGGGAAGAAGGAGGGGTGGAAGAGGAAACGCTCTAAACCACCGACGCCCAGAGGACTGGTGGGATTTGTATAAAAACGTGAGCATTTTGCCCCTCGCTCCTCATTCTGACCTAGGTACGCTTGCACTTTGGAGTTCTTAGTCAGGTTCTGAGGACCTGGGCCGTGTCTTCGGTCTGGCGTTAATGTGGCCGCCCCTCTCGCCGCCTCGTCGCCGCCCGTCGTCTGGGCCGTGCCTTCGGTCTGGCGGATATGTGGCCGCTGTCGTCGCCAAGTCGCCGCCCCAGATTGCACAACATGGATGGCACCGCATAGACTGCCCACGAAGATTGCACCACATAGGTTGCACCACATCGAGTGCACCACATAGCTTGAAACGTAGCTGGCACCGCATAAATTGCACCACATAGGTAACCACGTAGAGGGCACCACTAGAGTGCACTAATATTGTATCACATAGGTTGCACCACATATTGCGCAGCATCGAGTGCACACCATAGGTTGCACCACGTAGATTGCGCCACTCAGATTGCACCACCGTGATTACACAACATATATTGAACCGCATACAGCGCGTTCTACGTGAATTACACCAGATATCTAATTGCCTTCGGCCCATCCCGCCACCGTGCATGAAGCTTATTGGATGGGCGTTGGGGTCTCGTGGGAGGACTCTCGGGGGCCTCGTGGAGGCAGTTGGGACTTCTCTTGTGGGCCGTTTGGGGGCCTCTTGGGGCCTCTCTTGGGCCTCTTGGGGGCCCTCTTTGGGGCCTCTTGGGGGCCTCATGGGGGCCTCCTGGGGCCTCCCGGGCGCCTCTGGGGGCCTCCTGGGGGCCTCTTGGGGCGGAAGGCTCAGATTCTTGGTTCGTGTTCCCTCTCTTGGGCCCCGTCGGGAAGCCGAAAAGGCGAGAACGCCGAAATCCTTCAACAACCTAAGGCAAATCAATGACTGGCCTCTTGGGGCCCTCTTGGGGAGCCTCTTGAAGGCCTCCTTGGGCGTGTTGGAGGACTCTTGGGCCGTCTCGGGGGCATCTTGCGCGTCTTGGTGCGATCTTTCGGCGACTCGAGGCCCTCTTGGACCGCCTTGGGGTGCATCTCGAGTCTCCCTTGGCCCGTCTTTGGGCCCTCCTGGGCCCGGAAAGGTCACGCGACAAGATGTGGGGGAGCCCAGGAGGCACGCGGAAAGCCCCGGGGGGTACGCGGGAGGCCCCGGGAGATTCGAGAATTTGGAATTTGGGCACTCTTAAAGATCTTAAAGACTCCTCAAGAGTGAGGATTGAGGCTTAGCGGATCAGGCAAAGGACCTGAGGACACGCCCACTCCGTGCTCAGAGGCACGGCGGCGGATATTGCACCACACAGAGCGTTCAACATAGATTCTCTTTTCAACAAAAAATGTATATCCTGCACCCCACCTACCTTGGGATGATCCGCCCGCCTTCTTGGTATTGCAATTTACATTTGAGTCTACCCCATCGTCCATCCGAAATATGAATTCAGACCATCCCAGCCCAATCGGTATCGACCCCCCCCCATCCGTTTTGACAGAAAACTATACGCGCACACTCGCTTATCACAAGAAAAAATCAATAATCCCTTGCAACAAACGGAACGACATGCACGCGCTCGTCGTCGCGCGCATGCCACAATTCTTTCTTACGTAATTTACAGTCAACAAACTTCCGGAGTCGTAAGGATTTCAAAACCGAGTGTCCCGAAAACATACAAAGCACATGTTTTTTTTCAAAATTCGTGCTCGAAAAATGGTCTGCGCGCTCTTGCGAATTCTTAAAGCCATAGGTTTTCAACATGTGCACCAAATTGTTGACGCTTCGCGTATCCCCACCAGCCAGCCCCACCTGCGGGTTGGCCTGTGCTCGATGGTTGCCCAATTGTGGCCGCCTCTCTTTCTAATTTGTTTGCAGGTGCACTTTGCGCGGTCTCGCGCCAATTATCTGTCGCTGTGCCCCAGCCTCGGTCATACCGCCCTCTGGACTTCTCCTTGCGGGCCGCGAATCGAAAAGCGCATCCCCACCAGCCATCTTGCTCAGTGCATGTGCACTCCACGCATCGCGTGTAATTTGCCGTGTTCCGTCGCCCCGGACATCGCTGTTGCCGGCTGACCTTTGTCGCGCGGCTGCCGACCAAAAAAATATCCCCACCAGCTCCAATTGGCACCTCAGTGGGTACGCCCTGCGTTTCCTGGTCCCGCTGTTTTGGTCGACGTGACTCTGACGTGACCTCGGTGCTGATTTGCGTTGCCTCCCGCGCCATTTTGGCCGCGCTGAGCCCAGCTTCTGAGCCGGGCGCCGCTCCCCTCACTGTTTTTGTTCGTTGCTTCGGCGCGGCCCGCCCTAGCTTTGCACGGCTTTCGACTTGCTTCGCGAGCCCGCGAACAAAAAAGTAACTAGCCCATCCTGAAATGATGCCCAGGCGAGTTGATGTGATCAGGGGTGTGGGGGAGCACGCAGAAGAACAAAAGGCGGGGAAAGCAGTCCGATACCCCAAGAGGGGGAGGATGGTGAAGGAGAAGGAGGAGGAGAAAGAGGAGAAGGAGGAGGGCGATGAGGAGGAGGGAGGAGGAGACCGTGGACAAAAAGGGGGAGGAGGAGAACATGTTGGCGAACCCCAGGGCTTCTTTGAGCGTCTTGACTGCCTCGGAGATCTTCTTGCGGCCTCTTGGGGGCCTCTTGGGAGCCTCTTGGAGGTCTTTTGGGTGCCTACTGGGGTTGCATGGGCGCATCTTGGAGCCCTCTTAGGGCGCTCTTGGGAGCTTTAGGGGCACTCCTGGGGCTATCTTGACGACGTCGATCAAAAAAGAGGGGCGCCTCAATTCGCACTCCCCCTTGGGAGACCCAGAAGTCGCCTCTTCGGGCGCTCTCGGGCATATCCTGAGGCCCTCTTGGGCCATTTTGGAGCCATCTTGAGGCCTCGGATGGCCATCGAAATCGAAAATGCGAAAAAGCAAAACACATTGTTTCCCCTTACGTTTTGGAAGGATGTTGGCCTCTTCGGGGTTTCTTTGGGGAGCTCATTGGCTACCTCGCGCCGTCTTGGAGCGGTCTTGGGGCCTCTTGGAGCATCTTTGGAGCCATATTGTGGCATCTTGGGATATCTTGAGCAATTTTGGAGTTCATCTCGGGCTCTCCGACGCATTTTGTGAGCAATCTTGGGCCATTTTGGACGATCCAACCCCTCGGGGGGGACCCCCTCCAGGTCCAGTGGAGACGGTTTGTGAGACGGGTCAAGCGACCCACCCGCCCGCAAGCTGTCCAGCTCACTCCCACCCGCCCTCCCAACACATGAGTAAATCCCGAGCCTGAGCATGTTCAGCGGTTGTCTTTGGATGGACAGCTATACGGAAGCAAAGCCGACCCTAGGTGCGCGACGTTTTGGCGAGGTGCGCCACGCATGCCAGGGGCGCCACGCGCGCCAGGTACCCCTGGGGCCTGAGCGTGCCAGGCACGCCTGGT